AGAGCAGGCAGAGATAAAATTCAGGGACATGAGCAAAACCCTAGTAAAGCCATAGGGCCCCCCCAAAAGCGACACCCCCGAAATGGATGTCAGCAGTGTGCAAAAACCCTGTAAAGCGATAGGCACCCCCCCAAGCGATTTTTTAATTAGCTGTTTACTAATAATTTAGGTAGCTGCTCACATAACCCCAGTATACTATAGTAGCTTCCATTTTCTCGTTCTGTTAACCGTACATAACTCCAAGGTACTATTTTAGTAGTTTCCATTTGCTCAATATATTATATTCTTACATTAAGAAAATTTAGTTTAGGTATCTTGGGCTTCTGATTATAGAGGAGGCGTTTGGGATTCCACGGGGTTTGTAGGTGCTAGGATGAGAGAAGTTTGGTACACCAAACTCCTATCATGAGGAATCTATAAGAGTTGTATTTGAGGGGTCTAGGGGGAACCAAAGCCTCTGATTATGATCAGCCTCCTCCCAACCATTGTAAACGCCAGTGATCAGCATCTCTCTGCTTGCAAGGAAAGAGACGCTGGAGCGTCCTAAGCCCTAAAGCCCCTGCAGTCTGTCCCAGGTGTGGGTGAGGGCTCTTTATTCATAGAGATCTTCAGCCAAGATCCTGGGTGGATCCTGCTGCGCAGGCAGAGAGGACAGCAGGAAGGAGGGGTGGGGGGGTGGAGGGTGAGAAACAGAAAACATGCTTGCGGGCCCCTTTGAACCTGGGACGCTGCGAAATCTGACTTTTTGCCGGGCCACCCCTCAGATATGGCGAGTAAGTTTTAAGTTTTCGGGGGGTTGGGAGGGGGCATTTGGGTGCTGCTGCATTCCCATTTCCAGTGTTTTTTTATTGTGAGGTAGTGGCGGACACTCATTATGCTGTGTGATTCTTAGCAACAGGTGCAGCTTCCCTCGTTAGCCACAACCCTCAAACGCCACAAAATCAAGTAGAAACAAACTCCAATCCAAACACCTCCAATCTCAAACACCCTCAGTATGGGAACGGTCCTTGACGCAGCTTGGGAAACATTCACATGAGCTATAGTCTAAACCAAGGTAGCCCAGTCGTATTTTTTTGCCTTTTCAGGGGGGTCCCGGTGTTAAAACTGAGCAGAGCATCAGGAAAAAGGGTAACCGTATTATTGGGGCGTTACCGTGGAAGTTAGAAACTCCCTTAAAGGTATTAGGGGGTTATGTAGGAGTATAGGCTCAGGGTTTGGGGTTTAGGATCTAAGCTCCTAACAGGGGTTATGTAGGATATTCCTAAACAGTCGGGGAGTACAGGGGATGCCAAATGTCCCCTGCTGTTTCACCTGCTGTTTGTCATCCTTGCTGCTTCTACAAGTCTTTTCAGGGGTTTTAGGGGTTAGGGCTTAGGGGTTTACGGTTCAGTAGGGGGTATATACAGGTTATCTTAGGGGGCTTAGGGTTGAAGGGTGTAAGAGGTCTAGGGTTTCAAGTGCAGGTTGCCATAAGGGAGAAAGCTTTTGCCAGGGCCTGTGGAAGGTTTTATCACGGATAAAGCAGGTGTGTGTCCGGTCGGCGTAAAGTGTCTATGGGTTACCGTGGAAATAACTAGCCTTGAATGGGTTTCCTTGAGACCACAGCACATAGTGAAAAGTATAAAGATATAAAGGGCAACTTTGCAAATCTTGCCTCGGCATTGTCAAGTGGGTTGTTCTCAACAATATGGGCACCTTTTCTTTAATCTTTTTATTAAGTTATGGTACGTAATATTTAGGCGTACCACAAGGGGCTCATAGTTCTGGGAACTACCCAAGTAGTTTGTTTTTGTTGTGCTAAGCGTTTGAAGAAGTACCCAGGATACAGCGAGGGCAGTCTTCTTTGGGGTAGCCGTCGTCACAATCAATCGTAAGATCAGCACTAACATCATTCCATATTTGGATCCACGGTTTGCGGTGTGTATTTGATCGCTGCTTTCGGGTAGTTTTGAACGGCTCCCAGTTACCTAAATATTAGGCTACTGGCTATTTAACTATCGACTAAAAAAAACCCAGAAGCCATTATTTTGGTAGCTGGAGCCTAGGGCTAAACCCTTAACCCGAAATCGCGATTGATGATGATGCTGGCCGATCGTAGTGGCGGGGGTGTGTGGAGATCTTGATAGCAAAAGCATGAAAATACATATGAGCTATAGTCTAAACTCCTTAAAGTGGGTATATAGGGGATGATATAGGGTTTAGGGTTTAGGGTCTAAACTCCCTACAGGGAGGTTATGTAGGGAATTATTCAAGGGGGATACTATGAGTTTAGATTCTAGCTCATCTCTGCTCACGACTTCAGGCCCCATGTTTAATCGAGAGATGTACCCTGAGGAATTTAGGCTTTAGGGTTTAAGGTTTGAGAACCGTAAGATACTGTAAACAAGTATTCCTTAATTGAGAAGTAGTGGGCTCGCCATTGTGATGATGAATTGACGGACAGTGATGTTCCGACAGGTCGGACCACTCGCAACTCGAGTACAGCAAGCGCAGCAGGAGTCTGGGACAAGGCTGTAATAAGTTGGGCAAATTATGACGAGCGCGCCCCACCTCATCTTAAATGGTGGCTTATGTAGAAAACGGTCCCAAACTCGGCTATTTTTAGATTCTGACTTTTTGGTGAATGGCCAGATTAAAAAGGCTTTGCGTTTTCGGTTTGTTAGGTTTAGCTTATGCATGCATGGTGGCCCCGGGTGTGATACCAGCAAGCCCCATCATTAAGTATCTTACATGAAAGCTCCAACCCTGAATCCTAAACCCTAAACCCTAATCAGGCCCTAATCCCTACACCTTGAAGCCTAACCCCTACATCCCTAAACCCTAAATCCCTAAAACCCTGAACCCTAAACCCTAAACGCATATGCAGAGGAGCGCATTCTGTTACCATAAGGGTGCGTAATTGCGGTGCACACCACTTCAGGACTGGGGGGGGGGTGCTTCCAATTGAAAAAGGAGATTTTTTGCGCACTATCAGACGCACTATCAGACCTGGGCTGCTGCCTGGTTTAGGGTTTAGGGCTTAAGGTTTAGGGTTTAGGGTTTATAGGTTTAGGGTTTAAGGTTTAGGGATTTAGGGTTTAGGGATTTAGGGATGATATAGGTTTTAGGGGTTTGTGCTCGAGGGATTGTGCTCTAGGGGTTTAGGGTTTAGGGAGTAGGGGTTTAGGGTTCAGGTTTGTGCTGCCATCACGCAACCTTGAATGAAGCTTATGTAAACTGACGGACGAGGTACGCTTCACAGCAGTTCTTCAAGAAACTATGGGTACACACTCCGGCAAGCAGCATAATGTTAGCTTCGCATTAATAAATCCCCCCCTCCCACCTCGATTGATCTATCTCCGTCCCGGGGGACCCCCGGAATAATAATGCCAGAAATGTACGTTGGAAAGCCTATTTAGAATAGATTGAAATCTAATGAAAATCGTTGCCCCGAGGAAATTTTCCCTTTTGGGGGATTCTATAAGGGAATTATAATTGTGTTCCGGTGCTGGGATTTTATAAATGTGGGGGGAATTCGTAATGTGAGGCTAACATTACTTGAGGCATGTTTTGGATTCAACAATGCTGCTGCTACTACTACTTTACTCCAAACCTTGGCTGAACTCTCCCCCACCCACTAACAATCATACCTAGCATTATAATTAACAGAGCACAAAACATCGTCAAACGATGTGCAGGACCTAACGCTTTCGCGGATGCAGGCATGGGCAGCCAACAAGTGTCATATATATCTCTTGTTGATAGCAAGTCTTCTTAAGCTCTATGGGGGGCAGCAGGAGTTTAGCATCATTTTTTGATGAGGGTGCCGAGATATTGGAATTCTTAGCATATAGCAGATGTCCTTCTCTCAGCTACAGTATTTCAGAAGAAAGATCCAAGCTTACTTGGTTCAACCGTAGGATCTGAAGCTTCCTGAGCCCTCCAACAAGCCTCTAGTTAGGGCCTGAGCACACACTAGTAAGGGCCATATATCCCCAATTAATGGTACTAGGAGGGTCCTAAACCCTAAACCCCAAATGATAGATTCGCTTCCTTGTGTCGCGCAGGCCAATGAAGCCTTCGAGGTTCAGGTGGCTGGTGCTCACATGCGGTAGCTTGGGGCTTATAGAAGTCAGATAGAATTAGGGTTCAGGACCCCACTATAGACCCTGATAAACTATATTCCTCACAATGGGGGCAGCCCGGAGGGTGCCCCGAATCTTTATTGGAAAGCTCTCATGTTGCTGTTGCTTCAGTGGCCTAGGCCCTAGATCCCACCTGGAGATCACTTGCGGTCGCTCCACCTTCTTCCCCCAAACGCAGGGTTCAGGGTTTAGGGTTTCAGCTTCTGAGGTTTAGGGACCCTTAAACCCCGAAACCCTGTGGGTCTAGAGTTTACATGTGCGTGTGAACTTTCCACGAAGTAATTCTACAAGCGTGTATATCCTTCAAGCGTGTACCATGATCATGGCCGACTGCTGGGTTTAGGGTTGAGGGTTGAGGGGTTAAGGGGTCAGGGCATAGGGTTGAGGGTTTAGGGTTGGAATCTCAAGGTATATAGATCTTGAAAACTACACGCGGTTTTGGGTTGAGGGGTTTAGACCCCTTAGAAGGCCCAAATGCCTGCTATTTGGCCTGCCCAATGGAAGTAGTTTACAGGATGGCAGACTTGCATGGATCAGTCTAAACCCTAAACCCTAAAAACCCTAAACCCTAGAAACCCTAAGCCCTAACCCCCGCGTAGGCGTGGGGCTGGGGCAGACACTATTTTCCAAGTTCTTTGGGCATTTCAAGTACTGACCGTGCCACGAAAATTCCCAAACCTTCCCAGGGCTACAGCCCGAGCGTACGGTCTTGATGACCTAGACCCAGGCCCAAAGTAGGGCAAAAGACGCTCAAACACGCATGAGCCCTAAACGTGGCTTAGGGTTCAGGATGTAATGATATCTTGGACCTTAACTGGGCCCCCCCAAACTCTTGGGATAACAGCCCCAAATCCTATGCCCTGAACCCGAAACCCATGCAGTTGCCCTGGACCCTAGCCCCATTTAAAAAAACCCCAAATCCTTTGCCCGGAGCCCTAAACCAATGTGCACCTAAAACAATGCCCTACACCCCGAAAACCAGGAGCATAAATCTTAATCCGCAGAAGTTATTGCCACTTAGGTGGGAGAGGGGGAGTGGATTCTTAGAACAATCCCTATATAGCATCCCCTGTAAACGTACCTATGTTCCCTCCCTCTCCCCGTGTCAAACAGCAATAAGAAAAGTCTTTGCCGTGCCTGCCTCATGCTGCCAGAAGCGCATGACGGATCTGGAGCGATCCTTAGAGGGGTGGCGCCCTCAAGAGGCTCACTTGGAAGTTTGTAAGTATACCTATAGCCGCCATAAGCTAGAACATGACCCCAGTTATCCGGATCAATAACCTAGCTGCTAGGTGCAGCTGGCCCTCTAAGGCCTGAAAGTAGGGTCAAAGGATTTCAGGCTTATGGTTCAGCGCAGATTTTAGAGCTAACTAGACCTCAAAGTATGTAGAACATCGTCGTTTGGGGCTCAGTTTTTGGCCAGTTTCTTTTACTTAATAGACCCTGCCCAGACACCAAAAACACCGTGGAATAATTGCTTCTTTGAAAATGTTTGAAGGTCTTGGGCCATACTGGTTCCGGGTTGTAACACTTCAGGTGCCTGTCTGAATGACCATGCTTTGGAACCCCAAACCCTACACCCTTTTAAAACCTAAACCCCAAACCGTAAACCCCTACTCTAAACCCTAGAGCCCAGAATCTGCGAACACGTGCAAGAGAGGGCCATAGCCTTGACCTAAGTGGGAAATATCAGGTTGGATTATGGGTTTCAGGGTTTTGGAGTTTTGGGGTTTAGAGTTTTAGGATTTAGGATTGAGGGACTAGGGTTTAGGGTAGATCCCATAACCATAGCTTACTTGTTCTTAGTACGAATAAAGGAATAGGATCCCTTGATAATCCCTCTATCGCAACTTCCTGCTGAGAACCAGCAAGAGAGTTCCTTATAGTTACTTCAGATTACGCTGCTGAACCCTGAATACTTGCCTAGGTCTTCATGAAAACCATCTTCTAGGGGATATTGCTTGGCCAGAGCCTCATGGCATTGCGGAATCTGCCTTAAGCACTAGCGGTTTAGGGGTTAACGGTAAAGGATTCAGGGACTAGAGTGTAGGTTGTAGGGCATGGAAATTTTAGGTTTAGCTTTAGTGTGGCAGTCTTATCCCCAAGTTTCCCCTTGACAGCAGCAGCACAATCCATTTGAACCCTGCCCGGCAACATCATGTTCCGCGAGCTTTTAGACCCGCGTTGGAAAACTGCGACATCCTAAACCCTAACGCTAAACCCTAAACGCTGAACCCTAAAACGTGACGTCAATTGCAGGGGCTCGACATCCTCCAGCAAGATTGTTTCATTCTTACCTAGGCCTCTATACCCCTTTTTTTTTGATGTACTTCATTTTGGTATACAGAATGTACTCGACATAACCGCTATACCCCACTCCTTTTTTTAGGTACTTAATCTTGGCATACAGAAGAAGTTTGACATCAAGTTCGGCATCCTGAAAACGTGATGGGGTAATCCTCTCCCCCTAACATTAAACCCCCTCTCCCACCCCCTCATATTGCATATTCCCATATATATATATACATATATATATATATATTGGGAGTATTCAATATTAGAGGGGTGGGGGTGTTTGATATTAGGGGGATGGGATTGTAGGGGTCTGGGTAATCCCGTGGTTGCCAGGTGTTTTGCCCCGCCCCGCAATTGTAAGCAGCTTGTACAGGATACCTGAACCCAGAAGCATTCTGGGATAATGGACCTGCATAACGTCTGCAAGGGTTTGGGGATCGAATCGGATTTGGGATGTAGTGTTCAGGGTCATGTTCTATTGTAAGGTTCTCCCAATGCCCAAACCCGATCTTTGAAACCGGACCTTACCCCCATTCAGTGACCAAACTGCTTGCACGAATCCAAAACCCAAAACCCTACACCCTAAACCAAGTGCGAGTCCCAGGCAGATCCATGCTGCCAAAGAGCAGCTTCTGCGACTTAGTGAGGCTTCGGACAGGGCGTAGGGTTCAGGGGCTTAGGGGTCTAGGGCTTAGGGTTTTGGGGTTTAGAGTTTTAGGGTTTGGAGTTAAGGGTTTAGGAGGTTGAGGGTTTAGGGGGTTTGGGGTGTAGTGAGGGGTTCAGGGGTCTGAGGCTTTGAGGTTTGAGGGCCCTGGACTTCGGGGCTCTGGGGTTCAGCGTAGGGTGTATGGCGCTCCAGGACTTGCGCTTGTAGCTTCAGGAGTCTGAGGTTAAAGGGTTTAAGTTTAGTATGTCGGGTGGATACTTCGCTTGGGTATAGTGCCAGAAAAGTCAGGGTTGAGATGTCTGGGCGCAGGCTGAGATTACAGTTGTTTTAGAAGCAGTCTTGTATGTTTACCCGCCCAGACAGATTCTCTACACGCACACACACACACACCCACAACACGAGAGAGAGAGAGAGAGAGAGAGACAGATAGAGACAGAGATAGAGAGATATATAGATAGAGATCTCACAACTATGCACCAGCAACTATTCAATGGACTCCCCATCTGAGTCAGTTGTACCATGCATTCGGAATTCTGGGCAGACTCGTCAAACGTGCTACGGCTTGGGGTTCCTGATCCCCTGATCAGGCTTAAGATTCAAGCTTGAAGGATTAGGCTTGAGAGTTCAGGATGTTGAGGCCAGGTTTTCCTGGAGGGCATAGGGCGCATGAGCTCCGGAGCAGAGAGCGATGAATCCACCGTCTCGTTTAAGTGGCAAGTCCCCAGCCAAAGACACCACCAGGCCCTCAAGGCTCTGGCCGTGGCAATCTGGAGGGCCGAGTGGGGGCAGCACACCGACGCGCCTACCAGCACACCGACACGAACTGGCGTCTGTAAGGAATTCTGGAAGAATATGGGGTTTTCCAAAATGGGCGTAAAACCAATTTTTGAAAGCTCCTATGAAGATTCTTGGGGCTTGTTTAGTAAGTAGAGGGATCCAAACTTCCATGTCCTATATACCACCCCTAAACCTTAGAACCCTGAAGCAAACCCTAAAGCCCTAAACCCCTAAACCCCTGCAGCTGGGGCACGGTGGTGGGGCTTAGGATGGTGTCAGTCCTGCCCAGATTGTCCAAGCCAGGGATTAGGGTGTCGGGTTTAGGACTTGGGGTTTAAGATTTAGGGTTTTTGGGTTTAGGGTGTAGGGTTTAGGATTTACGTAGGGTTTAAGATTTAGGGTTTTAGGGTTTAGGGTGTAGGATTTAGGATCTAGGCTTTAAGATTTAGGCTTTAGGGTTTGGGATTTAGAGTTTAGGGTTTAGGATTTGAAGTCAAAGGGTTTAGGGTTTAAGGGTCTAGGATTTGGGATTTAGGGTTTAGGGTTCAGGATTTAGGGTTTAAGAGTTTAGGGTTTAAGGGTGTTTCGGGGTTTAAGGGTTCAGGGTATAGGGCTCCAACAGCGAATGGTTTCAGGTAGCTCAAACCCAAGAGTTTATAGTTGCACCCTGAACGTGCGTTTCTGTGACATCCTGGAAAAAGGAGCGGCGACGACTGACTGAGCTTTTCTGCAGCGGCTCAGTTGACAAGGCTGATCTGGGTTGCCAAAACCTGGATATCGTTGAGGGTTCAGGGTGCCTGAAGGGTCCCAGTGGGTGAGTACTTTGGATTCGACTAATCGTAGTTGAAGTGTAGGTTTCCGGCAAGTACGTTGAACATTGAGTACTTGGACTGATCTATTTGGGAAGCGGTAAGTGATAAGGTTACAAAGTACAAAGTTACTACAAGTGAAGTATGTTTGTTTAGACTCTAGGCTGTCGAGCTTATTAAGTCATTATAGTGCCGGTGTTAAAAGCATATGGACATGCATCAAGAACAGCCCAAGGGGTAATTGCCTCATAGTCACGCACGATCCGTGCGTACGTTGCCTTAGGGCGGTCCCTGTTTTGGAGAAACTTCCATATTAGAGGCTGTTGGTTTAGGGTTTGGGATTGGGGGCTAGGGTTCGGAACATTGCAGTCGGGGCTTCGGGTGTAGGATACTGTGCGTAGGAATGCCGCCCCGATCTCGCAAGACCATATAAATAGCAGCAGGCCAGGTTCTCAAAATCACACACCGCCGATGATAATCGGGATGAAGAAGCTCCTTGGGACTTAGCTTGGACCTTAGACCTTTAACCTTTTGGGATTCCCTTATATTCCCATTATAGGTGATTAAGGGTTAACCCCTGGTAGGGGTCCTAAGTGCCATGTAGGAAGCAGGATTACTGACTGGTAAACCCTAAGCCTTAAACCCTAAAGCACTTCAGGCCTTGAACCCAAAATCCTAAACCCTAGAAGATCCCTTTGCAATGTATTCCCTCGGTGCCTACTACCCCCCAGTGAGGAATTTGGATTTTGGCGGGTGGGGGGGTTTAGGGCGTAGGGTTTACCAAAACCCCCCAAAATATGTAAAATCATAGCCTTACACCCATAATAACAGCCATAAAGGCCATGATTTTACATACTTTTGGGGTCCAGGTGGATTTTGGGGTGTAGGGTTTACAGTTAGAGGCTGTGGAGTTGCGCCTTTGGGTCCTGGACAGACTAGGTGCCTTGCTTTGAGCACCACTGAGTAAGGACCAAGATCTCCCAGAACACGGTTTAAGGTTTAGGATGGTTAAGGTTTAGGGTTTGAGCTTTAGTGTTCAGGGTCTGGGGACAGAATCTTCAGGATCGCATCGCCGAGTCCCGACAACTGCTTCAGCAGGCGCGAATTTCCAGCAGTGGCTGACTTGAGCGCGAGTCTAAGGTTATTGGCTACGAGTTTTAGGGTTTAGAGTTGAGGGTTCTTGATGTTCTTGCTCTGGCTATAGTGAAAGTTTACACCTGTCGTTTAGCAACTGTCCGTGTCATGGGTGTTTACATACTCCTTAGAAACTGAAGTACCATTTTTTACTACATAACATGTTTACAACCACCCTAACCTAAACCCCAAACCCCCAGGCGCAAAGTGAGAAGGGCCGGGACGCTGGCAGTTGTCCTCATGAGCTTTGTCATCATGAGCTTTCCAATGATCCATGAAATTTATCACGGTACTCTCCTCTACGTTCATCTGGGTTGCTGTTAAGGGACTTGAGTTAGATTACCATTATTGGGTGCGTATATATGTATACATAGTAATTACTATGGTTTCCCTAAGATAGTAACTTAAATTAAGCTCCTTAACAGCAACCCAGTTCTAGTTGCCTAGCAGCTAAGAATCTGCTCAACTACCTGGACCACACGAGAATGTAGCATATCAGCGTATCTGTTGCTTGCTGTTGGTCTTGGGCCACGTGTTCTGCCTGGATATGGTCTAGGGTTTAGGATTGGGTTTAGTTTAGGGTTTTGGATCCAGGTAACCTTTGCAAGTTTACAGTCTTGCACAGCTTCAGATCAGCTGCTTGAAGCTGCATGAGAATCAAATTTGAGTTCGGGACGGTACTCTGTACTCCTCCTCGGTTCCGGCCATATTTAGCCTTAATGAACCCAAGTTCTGAACACATCGCCATAATTAACGGCGAAGTTGGGTGGACGTTTTCGGGCCAGTAGGGGAGTCCTTAAGCGGTGAAGCCAGCTACAGCCGCAGCCCCAGGTGTCGCACTGACTAAGGAGGTGTATACGGGTTGATAGCGGTACAGCAGTCTAGTGGAGAATGGCACTGAACAAATACTGCGACATAAAATGGACACTGCTTTATTATAATTATTCGGTTTAGCTACTTACATGAACTTGTCAATCGCTCGATGTGAGCAGTGTTCGCACCCTCCCGCGTGATAGCGCAGTGTGTTTAGAAGAAGCAGGGGATACGTGGCCAGGCTGCCAACCCTAAACCCTAAACCCTTTGAGAACTTCGACCCACAAACTTGCTGCTTGAAGCTGGTTATGGTCTCCCTAATTTTTTTGGGGGGGGCTGTTTACACGCCGCATGGCCAAATGTTGGTAGGGCAAGATTTCCTCCATCCGCCGCAGGTCTATGACGAGGAGGCGAGAGCCCTCGAGGCAACTCAGATGACCTGGACCCCTGAAGATTTGTAGAAGAACCAGTAGTCTTCTTGGATCTTTTGGGGTGTTGGGCTGTTATTGCCATTTTTTTGGGAGGTTCCCTGAATGTAGAACCTAAGACCCTGGGCTTGCATAAGCACCACTCAACCAAAGTCAAACAAGCAAAGAAACCTGGTCAAGTCTTTATGAGACCCCTTTGGGGCACATCCTAAAACTGAATCCCGTCCTGAACTTTCTGGTGTTTAGCAGGGTATGGACGAATGGATCCCTACGGCAGCCTCCACGGAACTGTAGTAGTCCCTGCATTCCGTTCCTTAATTCGATGCCTACACCCTGAACCCTGAACCTTGTAAACCCTATAAACACTGTAAACCCCATTATAACCCTGTAAACCCTACAAATCCTAGCAACCCTCAACCCTAAACCGCAAAGCACGCGTGAAAAAGGAGACTCGCGAGTCCAACATCGTCTTGGAGGAGTCGTGCGCAGGCGACCTGCTGCCCTCAGGGATATCCCCAGGGTTTAGGGTTTAGGCTTTGGCTTTTTAGGGTTCAGGGTTTAGGGTTTAGGGGCTCAGAGATATCCTGTAAGAGGAGCCACCAACCGGGCTTCAGGGTTTAGGGTTTAGGTTTCAGGGTTGAGGGTTTAGGGTAGGACCCTGCAATGACTAGTTGACTAGTGACTAAAAAGGATGCTCAGGCTCACATTAGGGTCCTATCCTCCTCAGATATCCTTGTGATAGGGCACTGGGTGTGGCGTTGAAACATGATTCATGTTGGGGCTTTTGGAATTAATACTTTCCCTAAATAGGGGGACACCAAA